GCTGAATTTCTGGAGCTAATGATCGGTCTGAGTGGAACATCCTTTTTTGTGGATTTTGGGTAGTCCATACAAGTGAGGGGGCTTACTGTGGTACAGTGTTAGCGATGATCTCTCTTTTTCCGAAATATAGACTTGGTGTTTTTCCAAAGTCTGGTACAACTTTCTTTCATGTGATGCAGTAGGGTCTCTTACACAAGAAGCCCCAAGTCTGGTTGAGATACGTAGAAGAAAGTGAACAACGAATTGCCTTTCTTAGACGTATTGGTGAAAAGGACCGACACTAATTGGGAAACATCTGTATATCGAAAACCCACTCACACAGGGCGGTAATTGAACCAGAAATCCAACCACCATCAATCGACTAAGAGAGAAATCATCAAGACTCTACTAGACCGTGCTATGTAATACAAAGGAAGGTATCAAAAAGGAACTAGGCATCATCATAAATGATCTTCAACGGAATGGTTACTCCAGATTGATGGTAGAACAGGCTTTAGCTAAAAGACAGCAAGAGCTTCACAAGGAAGAGAAGCCGCCACAACCAGTACTTGTACTTCCCTACATCAGAGGATTATCGGAAAGGATAAGAAGGATTGGGTCCAAGTATAACATCAGGACCTGTTTCAAATCTGGGAACACTATCCGTAGCAGCCTCACGAAAACCAGGCCACCAAACGCGGACTGCGATTTCAAGAATTGCATTTACCGGATACCCTGCGAGTGTGGAGAATCATACATCGGTGAAACTAAGAGGCCATTGAAAGTTCGCATTGCTGAGCACAAGAAACACACACAGCGAGGAGAAACCAGCAAATCCGGAATAGCAGAGCATGTTTGGACTCATCGACATAACATCAAGTGGGCTCAAGCTGAAATCATCCACAAGGAGGAACACTGGTTTAGGAGAAAATTCAAAGAAGCCCCGTATATGTTGTCCAACAACGCATTTAGCCAAGCTAGCGTAGAGATACGTAACATATCAAGCGGAAAACGACCAACTCCCGCCAAACGGTCATCAACCGCCAAAAACCAATGATGCGGAGAGAGGGAAGAGGTGATAGGTGAAAGCACTCGAATGACCTATAAATAATGGAAGTCCGAACTGATGAAATACGCCACGAAACATTGTCAACCACCTTCAAACAATTTAAGCTTGCTTCTGGGTAACAATTGGATTCTGTGCACCATATCGTTCATCTTTTTGGCTACCAAGTAAGGTCCTTGCCATGGTTCCTGCAACTTGGGACATAAACCTTTCCGATGTTGGGGTTGTTAGAGCTACACTGCTAACCGCCAGCGACTTTTTGTCAAATCTTATCTTCATCCTGTCGCTGGAAAGCTGTAATTTGGATCTGGCAAATTTATGTACAATTTCCAGTCTCTCCTTCAGGTCATTCACACACTCTGAAAAAGGTACCTCTTGAGAATCATCAGATGGGCTGCCACACAATACATCTATCGGAAGTCTCAGTTCTAGACCAGTTAGCAACATGAATGGTGTGTAACCTATCCGTCATGTTGGGAGCTCCTGTATGCCAACCCAGTCTCTTTGGTTTTCGGAGACAAACATTGAGAGGTAGTTATTGATGATACGACCATTCCATCGGACTGCGGGTGTCTGGCAATTACGTTCTGCAACAGGGTTTCTGCCACTGTTTTAGCCTCTTGGTTGGGTAAGGCTACTGCTTCAGGCCATTTGGAAAAGTATCCATCATTTAAGGTACTTGTTACCGGATGTGGTCATAGGGAGTAGTCCCAGAATGTCAACTGCGATTCTCTTGAAAGGGCACCCACTCGAAGAGCAAAGGTCCCAGCACTTACACCACTCTTTCACGTCTCTACGACTATTGACCCAATACTACTTCTCACGCACTCTCGCTAGAGTTCTATTTACTCCAAAATGCCCTCCAGTGCGACCATCGAGGAGTTGTGCAAGGATATTCGAGATACACGTCTTTGGAAGGATTATTTGGAATTTGTGGGTTCTCCCAAACGGGCTTTCCCATTTCCGAATGAGTAGGTCATCTCGAATGCACATGGAGCCCCTTTGTTGCCAGTAACCCTTTTTCTACTGACCATACTTGGAGATCTCTTGCCATTCCGTCGTCACTCCTTTGTCAATCCATTCTCGTACAATTTTGAAGACCGGATCCTCCTTCTGCGCTCATCAATTAGGATGATTGGATCACGAGCTCACAAGCTGGATGGTCAGATCAAGTCGGCTTGACAACATGTGTCTCTCACATCTGTGCGATGAAAACCGTTAAAGGTCAAAATGTCCATCACACTTGAAGTCACAAACCCAATAAGAACAAAACTTCTGGGATTCTAGAATGAGAATTCACCGAGTCAGAAAAAAAAATGGATTTTTTTCTATCATAGGTCAAAGAACACGTGACGGAAAAAATGGTGAAGAAATAAATACTCGTAGATGAAGAACAAATGTAGTTTGGTTGATGTCAGAAACCTTTTATACAAGAAAAAAAAAGCTGTTGCCTTTCAGTAAGTATTGGCTTATTGCTTGTTTTGAAAAGTATTAAAAACTCATTCTATAAATTCTTTAATTCATTAAATCAGAAAAGTACAATTGTGATTGAACTTTTCCTTAGAAATAATGAATATGGACAACAGGCTGCCAAACTATTTAACTAACGACATCCTGACAGACATATCTTTCTTGATCGATTCAAAATGAAAAGAGGCAGGTTGAAAATCAGGTACCTAATTAAAAAAGGAAAAGAGGTAGAGGTATTGGGACAAATTACAATGGATAGTACTTTTTCTATAAGAAAATTGTCCACATCGGTGGATGTGAATCGTAAAAGTACCCAGCTAATATTGAAAATATTGAGATTCAGTTATTGCCAAAAATAATGGAAGGCGACTTTGATGGTTGCATGCCATGTCGCGAAGTGACAAGTGAAGTACTTCAAAGTGTATGACGTTTTGAAGATTATCTGTTTACTTGATTATTTTGATATGTGATGGAATCGGCTGATACTTGATGAAAATCCATAAGGTATTCAAGAAACACTTTGTGAAATTTTCACTTAACAGTTTTACAAAAACGCAACACATGTTTCGCTATACGATAGCTTCTTCAAGGGTGTCTATAAACACTTTTCTAGGTCTATTCTTCTTTACTTTTGCGTAACCAAAACGATCTTATTTTTGGATCTAATCGTCAAGTATGATGTAAAGTGGATTCTCTAAGACAACAGGAGACGTTCAGAACACTGGTTGGACACTGATGAGCCACTCAGGCACTTTCCAAAGGGGAAAACCCACTAAAGAAAGACCATGGTTACTATACGGTGGTCAGCGGTCAACGACAGCCGATCAATGAGAGGTCCGATCCATCTTAACGATAACGCCCATCCGCACATTCCACAAATCGCCGTCCAAAAGCTGAACGAATTCAGCGTTGAAGTTCTGCCTTATCCACCATACTCCTCAGACCTCTTGCTAACTGACCACCCTCTTTTCAAGCACTTCGATAACTTTCTCACAGGTAGAACCTTCGCCAATCAGGATGTATGCTTGCATAATGTGTATGTGCCTGTACATATGAATATTTCTATTTTTACACAGGTTTTGTCAATAAGAGTATATCTTAGACAATAACTGGTTAACATCTTTCAGTATATATATTCGACACGCAGGAGTTCCGAGTTGTCTATGTTGTAATTTTAGTTGTTTAATAGAAATAGTAAGTCTTCCAACTGAAACCACGATTGGCTTCTGTTGGTAACTCTATGCATATATGCCGTTTCCTGATTACAGCAAACAGGTGTTGCCCATCTTTACACTTTATACAGATTATTTAAATGAAGTTTCTCCTTGAATCCAAATTTGATTGTAGCTCATTAATTTTTTTAAATTTATGTTTCATGTTTTATATTTACTTTTTTAAGTTTGTTTGACCTGTTGAATCAGCTAGTATTTTATGATGATGGTATGTTTTTTTGTCTAATGTGATTTGAAGGAAAACTAATTCAATAAATGTGTGATTGATTGATTGATTACAGTTCGGATATGCACTTTTTGGTATGTCCTCGTGTTTTCTCAGCGATTCGGATTTCATCTCCTCGCTCGTCACAAAACGCTGTCTTTTCATGGGTCTCTTCAATCTTGAGAACAATGTTGTTTTTGGCTAAAAAATTACAAACAAGCAATGACGAGAGAGCAGGTGCATTATTGTGATGCAAAAGAGATGAATTGTTTTTCCACATCACCGGACGTTTTCTTTGCATTGATTCTCGCAAGTGGCACATAACTTCAAAATTATACTCCTTATTGACCGTCAATCATGTGGTAAGAACTCCCAATGAACTACACCATAGTAATCAAAGAAAACAGTGAGCAAAACCTCATTGTTTGGGCCTTTCCATTGGGACGATAGGATTTTGATTTCGATGTCGAAACCATATACCCATGATTTTTCACAAGTTATGAAATCTTTTAAGCAAATCTGGATTGCCGTTGACTTTATTAAACAATTCCTGAACGATACTCATGCGACGGTTTTTTTGGTCAAAATTCTGCATTTTGCTGACATCCTCAGCCACTTCTCTAATAGTGATCCGACGATTCTCCATAACAATTTTTTTCACTTTTTCAACATTTTCATCGGTTTTTGACGTGCTGAGGCATCCAGGGCGAGCGTTGTCATTCACATCTTCTCGACCTTCTTGAATCACTCGTAAACATTTTTCTGGCTCAGAGTACAGCTGAAACTGTGAACATATATTCGAGACGAGTGTACCAACATAAAACGATACAAAAATTGCTAATCGAATGTACGTAAACCGCAAAATTTTGAACATTAACCTTTTTATCATATACGTTTATAAATTTCTTTGCATTATCTTCAAGGCATAAACTAAGGTAAACTGTACTCCATGTATGTTTAACAAGAATTCCCTCTTATTTACAATGAGTATATACAATCCTTTTGACTGTAACTCTTGATTCCAAGAAAGGTATTGTGAAATGGAATGTTCATAATCAATAGTTTATTTGAATATGTGTTCACTTATAATTTAAAATGATTGATAAAGAACTAGAACTTTCACTTGAAGAAATCAATGGAAAAAGTATGTACTAACAAATAGGTACTATTACAAAATCTTCTTTATAATTTCACAACACATCATATCAGTATTTTCCAATGTTCAACTTATGATATTTCACCACATTACAACACTGTTTTAACTACATTTTATCCATACAAGTTGCCTGGGAATTCCTGATCTGATAAATCGTCGTTCTGGTCTTGATCAGAATCGGGTGACTTAGGCCTCTTTCTTCCATAGGCCCTCTTACTGGTTGTTGGCAGCTGATCTGTTTCTCCATGGAGCAGCGAGTTTCGATAAAGTAATAATGGTTGCCAATCTTCTCCCCTACTGCTTGGCATGCCTGAAATCATTATGGAAGTTTTGACATTTGTTTGTTTGAGAAAAATATTTCCAATTGGTTATTTATCCATTCAAACAAAAACATGCCCAAATAGATAATATTGCAATAAGCAACGAAAAATTTGAGAATACAATGGAAGAAGATATGAAGATCCTTGAGACCTAACTTTTGTTCAATTATTTATAACAAATATTTGTATAACATCGAATTTACAAGATAATCTATAATAATCATCTATTAGAATAAATAACAAAATTAAGAAAACTTAGTACAATTTGAAATTACAAATTATTCTACCATCATTTTCTAATGCTTTTTATGGAAAATCTGAGTACCCGATAATGGGCTTGTTTCATGCTATGAAAAATGATACTGGTTTGCTTATAGACTGATCGAGTTAGGGATAAATTATACTTATCAAGCCTAATCGATCCCAAAATCTCTTTATATTTGCAGAAAAAAGAATAATTCAAAAAGCAAGAATTTAAATTGGCCAATAAAATCGATCGTGTCTAGAGCGGAGTTGCCAAGTGTATTGGTTTTTAATATCCAATCACAGATCTGATGATCCAATTTGACAGACGCCATTTTTGTTGTTATTTTCAAAGGAAAGGATTTGGAAAAGCTGAATACACTTATTTGAATTAATGAATCGAAGAGGTTTTGTATTAAAATGTATAATATTTTAAAATTCTTGCAAAGCGCTTTCGACTTTCGTCATCATCAGTGCTCACTTGTCAGGCAACAGGAAGTATCAAGATAAGTGAATTGTACATTGTAATATTTGAATTATATAAAACAAAATAGGCTTATAGCCAAGAAAATACATTTTTGGATTGAGGCCATGTGGTTCAGTCAAAGTCGAAAGCGCTTTGCAAGAATTTTAAAATATTATACATTTTAATACAAAACCTCTTCGATTCATTAGTTATTATTTTCAACTCGGTGTGAATACAACTGTTACAATTATCTAATTAAAAAACGTTTTTTGTAAAAGGTAGGTCTCGGCGGGTGTCTATTTTGCTGCATATTCCGTGTCATTAGTTTACATTCCTAAAAATATTTTTTCAGGTTATTTTTGGATTGATATGTTCCGGAGTAATTCTACATTTCACTCTACATATTTTTGCTTCTCTTTTCAGCCACCATACTGCTCCTTGGCCGAGATAAAATAAAAATAAAATCAAAACTTTCCATCCTTCGATAAAAGACAAAGTCTGAAATGAATGTCATTAAAATAAAAGGGACCTACTAAATATACCACCTTCCGTATCAATTTTTCATTCTTCATTTCGGTACCAAAGTATTGCAAAATTTTCAAGTAAAATTCATCGATCATTTCAAAATCGACTCTTGGTAAGTTGTCGGGAGTCAGCTTTAACAAAACTAGGATCAACACTCATTTTGAAATTATTTTAACAAAAATACAAAGTTTGTGGAAACCATTGACATTAGAAAGAGCACATTGTCGCATCCACACAGACGGCGCTGGCTGACTGGATGACAATATGGCTAATTTACCAGTAACATTGAATTTATTTTTGGTGGGTGGCATGAATGCATAATTGATTTATTTTATTAGGGTTCATGAGCATTCGAAAACCATTTGAAAATACAACTTGTTAAATTCTATTTAGATATAACTTGTACTATATCAGTTATCAAGGCAAATATTATTATCCATTTTAATGGTTAATTCATGGATTCTAGCGATTTTATTATTGTATATTTATTTGTTTGCTGGCTTTATTCTTAAAAAAAACGAATAAATAATTACAGAAAATTTTAATTGATCTTCATTTTTTCAGGAAAATGGAGTATCCATATCACAATTCATTGGGTTTATTCGGCATTGAAAATGTATGTCATATCGGATCCATTCTGCTTGTTTTTGCAACATTGAGTTTCAACTTTTTCTTAGCTGACAGCTCGCGTAGGAACAATTCATTTTTTCATCGAACTTAGTTTGTGTGTGTTTTAGTTTTCTTGTGCGGAAAGGCACAAGAAAACAGAAAGCGCATTGATTTATAGGTGAGTTATTTCATATAATGAGTTTAGGTTCCCAAAGAATAAAATGATGAGAAAAAAATGGGTGAAAGTATTGAAAAGAAAGAAATACAATCCTTCTACTCTTCCAAGACTTTATAGAAATCATTTAAAAAGGGACTATAAACGAAAGGGGAACGAAAATATTGAATATGATGACACAGTTTTTATTTCAACTTCAAGTATTCTCCACAGAAAGTATTATCTGGAGTTAATACTGTTGCTGAAAGTATGACACAAAATGAATTATTATTTTTGCAAAAAATCAAATGCCTTTCATTTTACTTCATTAAATTTTATCACATGAATAATGGTATTACCTCGGAAACTTTTGTTGGATCAGTTCGAGAACAATCAATTCTATCTATAATTGACCTCATTCAACCTTCCTATCAAGTTTTGGAAGATTCAACAGATTACCCAAGGGAGCCTATAACGCTTGAATTTAATAGCAATATTAGAAAGAGGTATGTACATAGGAATCGTTTATTTTATATAATAAATTGCAGTTGTACACATTGGGGATTGTAGAATGAATTGAATATTTGAAATGATTCTTTAATCCAGTTTGCTATATTTTTTGATTTTCATAACTGTATATTATTAAATAATGCATAAAATCAAAGTTTAGGTAAATATTTTGTGATCTTTCGACTTTTTGTACTGATTTTAGATATAGAACTTATTTCCAAACATGAAACGTTAACGGGTTCATATACACTTCTATAATTAAATTGATAATTACAGACTTCGTAAATTTTACGATTTGGCAATGTTGATTATTTATATTGTTCCTATTGGTCAATCGCACAAGAAATGGGAATAGGGTCGTGACGTCACCAGCTTACCACATTCGATTTTTAATAATTAATTACGGGAAAACTATGGTACTTAGAGAGCCGAAACAAAGTGCACTGTTTTTCAATTTGAAATTTCTATCAAGTGAACTATAAACCAAAAATCATGAAACAAGCCCTTTGAATAATCATGCCAAAAAACTAGCTGTTAAGTTCAAATTAGAAGTTATATATCTAAAAAAGACATATTTATATTCATGCTGCAAAAAAGAGATACTTTTTCTTAAATGTGTTTACTTTTATTTGCAACTAGCTTGAAAGCTACTGAAATATTAAGCGGTTACAGTAGTTACAAATCCAAATTTGTTAAAAAATTCTATGGGGTCGACTCTGAAGAAAGCAGACTGCTTGATTAAAACATACAAAGGTATGGTGGCAACATGTGTATTTTTAAAAATAATTTCGAAACTATAGGCAGTACATTTTATTATACGGTAACATTGCTATATTCTGAACTGTAACAGATATGAAGACGAATAAATGAGAAAAAAAGGAACTATCATGGGGAACAGTATGGTCAAAAAAAATTTAAAGGGGCCTTCGTTCTTCTCGAATTATGCAGAGAAAACTAAAAATGCTGGTTTTGGTTTTTTAGGAATAGAATATTCATTTAGACAATACGAAAAAATTTAAGAAAGTTTTATTGTAAGCGAAATGTACTATAACGATGTAATATTTGGTGTCAATATGGCCACCATCACCTTTTTTTTTCAAAAAACCCCCATCAAACTTGATAATTTGATATCATTTTCTTTAAAATAACTATCAACATCAGTGACTGCTTTGATTTTTTCATAAAGTATTCAACTATTGGCATATCTCAAACATTACCCAATAATTTCAATAAGAAGATACCCCAACACAACGAACATTCATATTGTTCCATTTAGGAAATGTTTGTATTAGTTATTCTTGCTTCAGGGCGATTTCTCCTGAATCAATTTTTACAAGGAATATTTCTATAAGTCTCAATTCTGGAAGTAATGGAAATATTAGTTGGTCAAAATGCAAGTGTTCTGTAATTTGGTACAATTGAATAGCATCTCAGTTCATTTCCCATTTTCAAACGTGTAGGCTTTGTTTGGTTTCATTTCTCTAATTCACCTCACTTATTAAACTAGATCGTGGAATGACAAATATAATAAATGGATGATAATCATTTGGATATATAGATAATCTTTATTAGTTCTTTGGTACAAGGACCCTCACAGGTGTAGAACTTGGCAAATTATGGAAAAAAAAATTACATATTGAGTCCGAAAATACTTGAAAGGTTTATGATCCGTGTATAATGGAAACTTCCTTCCATAAGGTGTTACATAGACGATGATATCCACATTTTCTTATCTTACTCAAAACTTTCAGTACAATTTTCTGATGATACCTAAAGTGAATCTTTTTTTAAAATTGAATTGAATGAAATGAATTAGGAAGGAACTTCCCATAAGAATTTACCACTTCCAGAAATGATTTAAGCTCTATACCATTTCGATGCATAAATGTCTGTCAGATATAATTCAATATCCAGCGTGGTAATGCCGGAGAAGCAGTTGTTTTCCGGCAGGCATTTAGCAGAACCTGCGAAAGATGAACATTTGGAGATTTTATTTTCAAATATTTATTTTCTAGTAAGTATGTATCTCCCCTCGATACAGTCTTTAGACACGGTTTGATCTCTGTTAGATTATTGGTACATGAGATGTTTCTTCTCCGCTTGGGGCTTTGTTTACGAGATGTTACTAGTTAACAATATTTCCCTTAGACATGCAGTTGAGCCACGTTGAAATTAATCGAGTCCCAAGCACTTTGCTGTTTGGGTTGGATCTTTCCTGCACTAATGAAAGGTATTACCTCAAAACCGGCAGCTGGATGAACGATAAACATCTGCAAGACTAACCTCTCGCATTTACCAGGCATTTATCAGAACCTACGGTGTAGGTAGTTGAGAGGGATGAATATTTGAAGATTTCTTTTTTTAAATATCGCTGGATATTGAATTATATCTGACAAACATTTATGCAAAGTATCTCAAAGAGGTTAGTTAAGGAAAGACCGGATCCAAACAGCAAGTGTCTGGGACTCAATTGACTTCAATGCGGCTCAACTGCATATATGAATTTCTGATTGATTCGGCCGTTACTTGATGAAGATCCATAGTAATTTCATAAACTAAACATTACGATTTGATCTTCACAAACTTCATTTTCAAAAAATATATCAGACATGTTTTTTAGAAACCGACATTGAATTATTGATGTAGAATTCATATAATATGCGTTAGGTAATTATAATTTGAGGATTTACTCTAGGTACATAAAAGTTGAGTAGATGCTCTAGGTAATTATGATCGAAGAAGTCCCTGAGTAGGTATCTCTCACTTGTGATTCGGTGGGATATATAAAAATTAGAGAATATAATAGAATTAACTTATAGTATGTCATTCACTACGAAAAAGCTACTGTGATGTAGTTTATGAAAATGCACATGTAAAACTTTCGTCAAAGAGAAAGATTGCTAACTAGTAACAGAATTTGAACCGTGTCTGAAGACTGTATCATCTCTCCCAACTACCTACACCGTAGAATCTGGTAAATGTCTACAACTACTTCCCCGGCTGATACCACGCTGGATATTGAATTATATCCGACAGACATTTATGCAAGATATCTCACAAAGGTTAGTCTAGCAGATATTTCTCTTTCACCTAGCAGCAGGACCATGGTGAAATTGTTGGAGTAGATCACCTACACACCGATTTCGAAGTATTACCTCTCATCACCCACATAGCAAAGTGACTGGTATTCGATATTAATTTCAACGCGGCTTGACTGCATGTATGTTAACTAGTAACAGTTAGAAACATCTGCGAGTTAGTTATAAATATTTGCGAGAATAACCTCTGTTTCCCCATGATAGTTACTTTTTTTCCCATTTAATGGTCTTCATATCTGTTAATGTTTGGAATATAGCAATGTTACCACATGATAGAAGAAACTTATATCAAATGCTATTATAATTTTATAGAATTGACAATTGTCATTTGTGATCTCTTCTTTTTCTTACTAACATCGACTATGATCCTATTTTGGGAAAGTCACATAAAGTTCAGCATCTTTTGTTGAACATTAGTGGAGCATTCACACTCATTTCCAAATGTTTCTTGAAATATTTTCGATATTTGGGTAGAAAAAAATTATGACAGTTGCATTACCTGTTCCAATTCTCTTATCTAAAAATCCCATAACGACTCTTTTGTCTTGTTTCAGCAGTTTGTTGGTGAACTCCGTCAGTATTTCGAGGAACGACAAGTTTGGAGGGGGTCCGGTGGGATCCTCCATTGTATTTTCAGAACTTGTCACTGCAAATATGATACCTGCTCTATGTAAGGCAGTTATTGCCTCCCGATTTTTCACAGCATCCAGACCAAAAGATAAGGCAAACCTCTTAGCCAGTTCCTGAAATTGAGAATATTTTTGATGATTAAAAAGCGGGTGGAATAGGATCATAAAAAAAATATATTTCAAACTTTGTTATAGGATTGAAAAGGTAATGTAATGAAAAGAAAAAAGACAACAAATAAAATACCAAACATCCACATACACAAACTAAGAAACTAATTTATAATAATTAAGGAAAGCACATGTACAGCTTGTCAAGTCTCTTCCTAGATTTGACAAGTGTAGTAACATTGATTTGGGCGGGTTGGATGTCCTTGTTCATCCTTCACTGCCTGAACCGTTGTACATGCTGTTTTTGGCGAGTGCATTGGCTTGCTATGTGGGGGTTGAGCAAACCGGCCATCGGATGCCTGCTTCCACGTATCTCCGCTGGATACGGGAATGACAGAATCACTTGTGGCAGTTCGGCAGAGCCGTACTCTTACCATCTGACCTGAAAGACCACTCACCATACAAACTAATCATCTTCATTGAGAAGCTATGTTTATTTGGTCGAGTGTGAATAGGTGTGAGCCACAATAAACCCTTGCGGGTTTGTTCATGATAAATAGTAGTTTCAATTTGAAAAAACTGCTTAGTCTGTAAATTTAATTTGTGGTCAGTTAATGAATAAAAGAGCTAGTACTTCTACTTTACCATCGATTTCAACATTTTTGTTAAGTTTATAGAAACACAAAATGTCCCTAACTAAATTTTCAATTTAAGATTTGAAAATCCCTGACATACTTGCTTCCTGCAGGGAGTATAAAAACCAAGGGAAGTGACTAGTAAATATTTGATAGCTGAAGTTGACATGGAATAGGATCATAAAAAAAATATATTTCAAACTTTGTTATAGGATTGAAAAGGTAATGTAATGAAAAAAAAAAAAAGACAACAAATAAAAAACCAAACATCCACATACACAAACTAAGAAACTAATTTATAATAATTAAGGAAAGCACATGTACAGCTTGTCAAGTCTCTTCCTAGATTTGACAAGTGTAGTAACATTGATTTGGGCGGGTTGGATGTCCTTGTTCATCCTTCACTGCCTGAACCGTTGTGCATGCTGTTTTTGGCGAGTGCATTGGCTTGGTATGTGGGGGTTGAGCAAACCGGCCATCGGATGCCTTCTTCCTCGTATCTCCGCTGGATACGGGAATGACAGAATCACTCGTGGTTCTGTTATTCCCTAACTGAATGGCATCCCAACGATTCCTCATTTCTAAGGTGTGTGTATCTGTGCCGAGAGAATGAATGACACTGAGCCTATCAGCTGTCTCAACGGAACCTTATACCGGGCGCCCTCTCGTTGTAACATCGCCTTGTCACGGTAATGTGGGGCTCTGCCGTGATTGACCTTCTTTCCCTAGCTACTCGTGGGACTTTTATGGACAGAGTAAACTTAAAAATTCCTTCTGACGCTGAGTCTATAGAGGAGATGGATGTCGAGTTTACGACTCCAACTGACCTCCCTGTAAATTTAGTTCAGGAGCGAGAGCTTCTCAACTCCCCAACTCCTGATCCAATAACCGAACCTAAAAAAAGGTTTGATGGTGCAGCCAGGAAACAACTGAGTCTTCTCCTCAAGAGCGGTGTACCTTATAAAAGCGTCTTGCACCAAATTCTTGAGCGGCGTAAGCAGAATCTGTCTCATGTGGAGGAACAAACCGGCAGAGCCGTACTCTTACCATCTGACCTGAAAGACCACTCACCGTATAAACTAATCAGCTTTGTTAAGAAGCTAGGTTTATTTGGTTGAGTTTGAATAGGTGTGAGGCACAATAAACCCTTGCGGGTTTGTTCATGATAAATAGTAGTTTCAATTTGAAAAAACTGCTTAGTCTGTAAATTTAATTTGTGGTCAGTTAACGAATAAAAGAGCTAGTACTTCTACTTTACCATCGATTTCAACATTTTTGTTAAGTTTATAGAAACACAAAATGTCCCTAACTAAATTTTCAATTTAAGATTTGAAAATCCCTGACATACTTGCTTCCTGCAGGGAGTATAAAAACCAAGAAAAGTGACTAGTAAATATTTGATAGCTGAAGTTGACATGAAAAAAGAGGATGATAAGTTCTTCAGTAGGGCACATGTGGTGAATAAAATTGGGAGATAGAATGTGAACTATTTTGTTTTGGTTGAATTTTGAGAAGAAAAGTGTTTTAATTTACTGTGATTTAGATGATGACTCACGAAATACCTAACACAATTGTTAAATTTCTTGCACACAAATTCACAAATATCTAATATTCAATACAATAAACTAAAACATTCATTTTTCCCTATCCAAATAAAACACAATACTTCACAATATTGCGTCTATTCAATTCGTTGAAATGTTCACCACTAAACATCTGAGCCTTTCACTAAATAAGTAGTATCCCATGGAGTATCCATCCGTGTTTATTTCAAACATTTCCGACAATTTTCCGTACTCATTATTGGGTTTCTTCAACAAAATAACATTCATAGATGGTGGGTCAGACAGTTTTAAATTGTAAAGAGCAGTGAATTGGAATTTAGGTTTGGGCATATTGTTTATAGAAATTGACTTTGTTTCACACATTGTTCACCAATAAAATTAATAAAACAGGATGACAGATATTTAGAATTTCGAATAACCCTTCCTTATTTTTCCTTCATTTCATACCTTCAGAGCAAAGAACTCCTCGTGCTGCCTTGTATTCCTACCGCCAGATACTTGGTGTACTTCATTAAACATCATATTCAAGCTGAGACACATTGTCAGGGCACAGTTCACTTTATTGATCTCTCTCGCCTTACTTAATGTTGCTTTGATGATATCTCCATATTCGTTGTAATACTTGACATAGTGCTTGAAAACATCAGCACCTGCTTTGGTAGGCATGATGTTATAGACTATGAGTTTGCAATAGGCTGCAAGGAAGTTACGGCGTTTATGTAACTCTTCAATCCTTAGTTCGTCATGTTCAGAATCTTGTTCCGGAACAAAAACATAACTAAAAATAAAGCAGCTTTCAAATGAAAAGATATAATCTAAATACATATAACATCATGGTTCCCATCGAATGATTTAATGTATTTCTGTTCTAAATAGGGGTAATGATGAGATACATATTAATGATGAGACATATATGTAAACACCATTTTCATTAACAATATTTATACATTTGAACAGAAACTTACGTCTGTACAAATTCATTCAGCAATGCTTGCAGATTTCTGTCTGGCCTACAAATTAATTCTGACAGAGCTGGTGTGGAACCCTGCAATTGTTCACTGAAAACAATCAACAGATCGCACAGGCCAACGTAAGACTCTTCTTTGATAAGTACATATGGAGAAGAACGAATCAACATCTGAGACGCTTCAAGGAAGTCATTCAGTGTTTCCCGCATGTTTTGATAGTCTGCATGGGTGAGACCGCCACCTTCAACAGCAACCTCAAGGTCTCGAAGACCCCAAAGGACATGGTAGTAGCAGGAACTGAGGCAATATTTAAGAGCCTCTTGGGGTAGGGTGCTTTCAATATCCTGAAAGATAAAATTAATATATTTGTCTAAAAATTTCATAGATAATCCAGTTTTGTTGTTACAATAATTATTAAAAAAAAATCACCTTCACATCCTGAAATAGGGTATTCCACAAATTCCAGCTATTCAAATTGTGGCAGGCATAGAACATAGATACTTTTTTCAGTGTACTGACTACATTGAAAACTTCGTCATCATTTGGCGTTTCTTCTCCTAATAACAAATTCCTCCAATCATCGATAGCCTCCTTGTAGGCAGCAACAATCATATCAACTATGGTAGATCTAGCCACATCACACCGTGTATAAATCGAGTGTCCTTCGGTACAGAGGATCTCTAGAGTCTTAGCCAACGTTTCCAAGACCTTCAGAACAAATTCATTTAAATGAAATTCAATATGACAATTTTATATTTTGTTTGTTTTTGTTAAAAATCATTACCTCTGGTTCATGATGAACTTGAACAATATACTTCAATTTAGCTAATAGAGCTTGCAGTGAGCTTTCTTGCCTTCCACTTGTGTAAAGATCGAGGTCAAAATATTGAGGAATGCTCAGTAAGTTAGCCAACTTCTCTGGATCGGCTGAAAATTTATCTAACAGTGGTGGTAGAGTCACTATAAAATGTTCTGTGAGTTTCTGCTTATCTTCACCTGCCTTGAAATAAAAAGCAACATGAAAATCATTGTCTTGTATCAACACATTATTTCTAGTTTTTATCCAAAATTTGACTCAAAGAAGACTACTTATGATCAAGAACACTGAAACATGTTATTTTATGTAAAGGATAATAATATATTCAGGGTATCTCATAATTCATGGTCAAACTGAAGGAGGTGATAGAGGGAGTTCGTTGTTGATAAAAGAGTTCATATGAAATGAGGTCTGATTCCTCATAGTTTTCGAATAATTTTTATTTTTGTGATTTTTACAAAAAAAAAGTTTTTGTTAGGTAAAAATTTTTGCAAAAAGTAAGTAGCAGAATTACTTGTCTTTCATTTGCAGTATTTTTGTGAAAATTTCACGGTTTTCAGAAATTTGAGAACTTTCAATTTTATTAATTCAATTGTATGTAACTAAAGCAAACACAATCAATAAAGATATTGATTATTTTTTAGAAAAAGGATGAAACCGGACTCAGAAGACTAAGCATTTGTGATCCAACACCAGTCAGTGGTGTTTCGACTTCCTGTAGATGATAACATCTCTCTTTAACAAAGACTCCATCTATGGGATCGAAAGAAGACTCAATCCACGAATATCAAAGATAAAAGAGGTTTTCTTATCCAACAACGACAGTTGTGTCTAACAATGCATTTTGAATTCAGCCTAGCACCACTGCCGAGACTTATGGCGGCTCGAAACACCGCTGTCTGATGTTGGATCATGAATGCTTTGTATTAGGGGTTTAGTTTCATCTAGTTGCCTTGCCTTGCAGTGAGAGCCACGGTGAAAGACAGAGAACACATCTCATTTGGCGGTATGTAGGAACTTGGCTTTGCGACAGACCCGTCTTGGGAGGCTGTATTTATCATTGATATTCGTGGATCGAGTCTGCTATCAATTACAAAGATAGCGTCTTCGTAAGGGGATATGTCACTGCTTCTACTGGCTTAGACTTGTCTTTTAAAGACAGTTGAGTGCAACAATGCATTCGTTATTCTGTCTAACACCACTGGTGAGTCCTATGGCGGGTCGAAACAGTGCTGCCTGCTGTTGAATCATGAATACTTTGTCTTTGGACAATGGTTTCATTTAGTTGCCTTGTAGTAAGCTGTAGAGAAAGACAAAGGACGAAATTCGTTCGGCAGTTGACAACAAGTTTGTTTGAAGGTGATTGACAATGTTTTGTGATGAATTTCATTTGCTATTCCAANATTGTTACCAATAATGTAGGTTTTCATTTACCAATACTTCAAGCTCAGTATATTTAGGCTTCAGGCTTGCTTTCTGTCTTCCTGTTTATGAGCAACAAAGTCTTGTAGAACCCTTTTATTAACAACTCGATCACAAGTTACTGAGTCCTCTGTGAGCAGCAAAGATTTGATTCATGTTATTAACGAATGCTATAAAACTAAAATGATTCAGAGTAATCAGCTCAGCTGTTCACTTTTCTTCAATAACATTATCCTGACCATCAAGGATTTTTTTGTGTATGCAATGCCTGAAGAATCTTTCACACATGTTATCTACACTACCCTAAATGCAACCAAATATTAGAAAATATTTAATAAATTCGAATTCAAATATGTCCAGATACATTGTTCCATTTCAAGTCATATTCATATTTGTATTACGAAATATGGGAATTATAAATTGGAAAATTTTCTTAATTCCTAGTATACTTTACGAACTGCAGTTTTAATTACTGAAAAATAAATATTTTCAAATAAAATCTAGAAATATTCATCCCTCCCAACTACCACCGTAGGTTCTGGTAAATGCCTGCCAGAAAACAACTACTTCCCCGTCTAATACCAAGCTGGATATTGAATTATATCCGACAGACGTTTATACAAGATACCTCACAGAGGTTAGTCTCGCATAAGTTTCTTGTTCATCCAGCAACAGGACCATGCTAAAATTATGTCTCATCATTGCACATGTATCTCTCCTTGATACAGTCTTCAGAGACAGTTTCAATTCATCATTATTATTATACATTTCGAATAGTTTTTTCAAAAAACAAGAGATAATATTGAGTTGTTCATTACCTGCTTCATTTCTCTCAATGAAGAAATCTTCCTTGTGGGTCCTCTGCCAACAGGAGCCTCTCCTGTCGCCGCCTGTTTGACACAGCATACCATGATCTCAATTAAACTAGTTTCTTGCCTGTTGTCCAGTGGTTCTTCATGAGGCCCTGGTTCTTCTAGTAACAAATCGGTCATGCATTCCCAATCCTTCATCATCACATTAGACTCAATGAGAGAGTCCACAAGATACGCAGCATGCTCATGTAACTCAGATTCTATGAAAAACTGCACCAAATCGCGAATAAATGGAGTGTTGGGCAATCGGCGTTTTCCTCTTTTTGTCTTACCAGCATCAAAATCACAAGGTTGAAACAAGCGTTCATTCAAGAACTCCCCAGCAGCTTGTGCTACTGCTCTATGGGATGAGTAAACCTAAAAGTATTTTATAAAAAGTGAACCCTGACAATACACATATTAATGTATGTTGATAATGATCGCAAAAAGAAATTACACACAAGTTACGAAAAATTGGCTTTATAGGGTAAAGCTCACCAATAGTCTGATAGTTGCTTGAGTAAATATTAACATACAAAAACGAATAGCATTTTATCCCATCTACAAGCAATTTCGTAACTCTCCGAGTAGTGTGTTGGAACCGCTCTTGGTATTATGTTATACTAATGGACTCCAGAGAAAACATAATGTGCGGTATAAACAAAATCAATGAATGTCTAGAGCTAATTTCACAATATCTCAAGGTAGATAAATTGAAATTAAATGTGGCCAAAATGATACAAGTTGAATATATTTATACTTTTTTCAAAAATATTATCTCCAACTTACTGAATTGGCTGACTGGTTTTGAATTTTATCTTCTTATGGTACATTTGACATATAAAATATAGAATAGCTATAAAAATCGAATCATAAATATAGTCCAGGCACTAATATTATTAAAATAAAGTGACATTTCTGAAACTTTTGCAAGTCTTTGACGTTGCACTTCTAAGGAGTTAATATTTTTTTACTTCATTGAGATTTATAGAGTCCAAGTTTTTAATTGAATTTTATAATTTTTATTTTCGAAATTAGTAAAGTTCAGTGTCGGTTACATAATCTACGGACTTTTCACAGACATTTTCACAGCAGGCATATTTCATTTTAGTTTTTAGTAGTGATTAACTCGACAAAATTGATAAACACCATATTAACTTTCTTCACATATCCATATCACGCTGCGTTTTTATGCTGCCATTCAGATTCTAGAATGACCATTTTTGCCGTTTTTGGTCGAGTCCCCTTTCAGTTGCTACTTTCATTCCGTCAATCAAGACAGAATCCTTGGAAACGAGTGGTGAGGGAACATGAACCTCAATAATATTGACGGTATTAACCGTAATATTAAGGAGATTCAAGCAGAACCAAGGTTGGTGTAATTGACCATTTCACATACTATAGTACAGTAAGGCAAGTCACGAATACAGAAATCCTTGTTTGGGGTTACAAAGATAAAATTTTCTACTGAAAAAATATAATAGTGTAGATTGTAGATCAATTAAAAGTATAATTATAAAATCAAGTATCAAAGTTGTTATGGAAATTATGCAAACAGCAAGACTTATTGTGTACATTTCATTTATTTATGGTGAATATATAAAAAAGACAACCCATTTGAAACTTCTACTTGAAAATCACTTCAGTGCTTCGGCATATAGACTGTGTATATGGGCTGGTACTTTTGACTTCCCTCAAAGTACATTAAATAGTAATTCCAAAAAATTTCATATTATCTGAATTAGGAGTGAACTTTTTTTATTAAACAACTTTGAAAAACAAAATTTACCACTTAACTGAAGTATTTTTTTTGTCTGACACTATAATTTACATACTCTTGCCACTATTTTAATTTTTATCTTAAGTGCCTATCAACAAGTCACATAATATCTCCATCTAGCTATATAATGTACTTTTCAAGATAATTCAAAGGAATCTATTCAGTTACATACCAATTCGTATACATGTTCACAATCCTTATCAGTGAGAATTTCATGGTGATGCTTCAATATGGAAATAACCAATTTGACTGCCTGCACGGCAACATCATATTCTTTGTCGAGAGTCATAGCGACAATACGATCCTTGAATTTATTTGTGAAGAGTTCTAATTTTCCTTTCAGCTCTTCACTAGCATATAGAGGTTGAAGTGCCTGTAAACATCTCAGACGTACTTCACCAACCTAAAAATTCCAACTCCATATTAATTCTTGACGAAGCTTTCGATTTCTACAGTATAATAAAGTGCAAATGAAGCTTGTATCATATTATTTTAGTTATATTTTTCTTAGCGTTACAAGACATTGATCTGAAGTTATAATAAGGTGAAAATTTTCACAAAATGCACCTGTTCTACTACCTCTAAATATACTACTAGTTTATTTGTGTTATTGAAAGTGAACAGTGAATGTGGTTAAGTTACTAGTGATATTTTTCATTATACTGAATATCTGAAAATCCAATGAAATGTAACAATGTTCTAATGTTCATTCATTTATGTAATCTCTTTATACCTATCTACAATATATCAAGGATCCACATATTCAAATAAAATGTTCACGACATGTTCATTTTAACGTCTATAAAAAAATATAATAAATTAGCTACCTTATCATGGAGAGTCCAACCAATATATTTCAAATAAGAATCATCCAGGAAATTTGCATGAAATTTGAGCATCCAAACACCAATTTCTGTCATTGCAATTGCTCTTATTTCGGGCAAAGTATCTCGATACCTATGTACAAAAACAGATTTGAACATATAAGTCAGCATATTTTTAATCTCATCCATGTTCTCTTCCAGTTCCTGCCTTTTACCTAAGAGTGCTTCTAGACGATCGCTTGCCCTTTTCTCACGTGTTTTTTGACGTTCAGCTTCATATTGACGCTGGGTATTATCTAAATTGACGGAGACAGTCAAAGCAACATCTACCAAAGCAGTCATCAGTTTCATTGCACCAAAAGTAGCAGTATGACGAAAAGCTCGAACCTAAAATATCAGAGTGATGTTTCAACTAATAATTTTTGAAATCAAATCTGTTTTCAATAACTGACAGAACTCACTGTGCACTTCAGTACATATTTTAATAGTTTATTGATACTACCATGAATAACATAAGAACATGGGCTTTCACGACCGCAGTCACGATTAGAGAGAATAAAATACAGGCTGCTAGGCTGAGGTCGAAATCAACTTATAATACCAAACAATTCTTTGTTTTGGTTGGTTTCCGGGTTTTGCCATGGTCTTCTTTGGTTATAATCTCCAAACGTTTCGACTGCAACTACAGCAGTCATCTTCAGTGGCGTGGTCAAAGTACTCTTCTTCTTGACATGTCAACTGAATCTGAAGCTCTCATTCTGCCGTGTCATTTATAGTGCTGATTTTTCGCGCACTTTCTGTAATGGCGGGTTCGTGGATATTTCCCGCGCTATATAATAGATCAATGCATTATCCAAAACAGAAACGAACCGTCAAAACCCTAGAGAACAGGGCTTTGAGAATATGTTGTTGTCTAAAGGAGAAGATCAACCCCAAGGCACTGTCTATCTGCCATACATAGAAGGTGTCACCAACTAAATCGGGAAAATTCTAAAGGAGAAAATTAATACCGTCTTCAAACCAACGAATAAAATATCGGAGTATCTGAGATCAGCAAAAGACAGTAGAGATCTACTCAAATTAGGATCCTGAACACAAGATCCTGTTCGAAAATACCGAGAAGCTAGCAACGTCGAATAATTATTCAACCAGAATGTATTTAGAAGCAATAAAAATAAACAAACACCAAGAGAACTTCAACAGAAAGGAAGAGAGAACATATCTCTCAAAGATCTAGCACACAGCATTGGAAAGCGCCAAAACGGAGCCAAGTCAACCAAATCGCGCGGGAAGTACGCACAAATCCGCCATTACAGAAAGTGTGGAAAAAGTCATTACTACAAATGACATGGTAGAAATGAGAGCTTCAGTTTCAGTTGACTCGTCAAGAAGAGTATTTCGACCACGCCACTGAAGATTACTGTCACAGTTGCAGTCGAAACGTTTGGAGATCATAACCAAAGAAGACCATGGCAAAAATCGGAAACCACTCAAAACATTGACGCCAGCTGTGAAAGCCTACATACCTATACCAAACAATTCGTCTGCTACCGGGCAGACTGGTATATGCTTGACTTTGAGATACTATCTTCGGCCTCGCAGTCAACGCCTATAAAGTGGTATAGGAATATCTAAACCACTTAAGACAAAACGTTTGGTACAATAAGTTCCATTCAAAATGATAAAATCTTCAAACAATATTTTCCTGAATATGTATTATAGTTGGATAACGAGGATAACTGAGCCAGTTAAAATAACATCAAGTGCGCATCAGGGATCTCATAAGAGGCCCATTATCATTCAATATTTTAATCAAGTTACTATCCATAATTCAATATTGATGTTTGCTGATGACTTAAAGACAGGTAATTTTAAGATGTCTTATTTTGCAATGCGGATATATATTGTTGTGTGAACATGGGCACAAATATTGAATTTGATTAGGTTAACAAAGCACTAACATGTCTATTAGAACTTATAGTTGCATGTCCACTAGAAAAAAATTGAACCAGTTTTATGCTTGTAATAACTTTTATTTTCAAACATTTGTAACAAAGTTAACAAAATTTTCGAGACGATTACTACTAAGTTCAAATATTGAATGAAAGTCAATTTTGTGGAGGAATCCGAGAATTTATTGATATTTTCTGAAACGATTCACGTTTTTTCAGACTGAGAGAGGTGGATAGTCCTAGAAAATGTCAATTTTTTTTTTAATTTATCATGAAATTTCGAGAAAATATTATTTTACTGACATTACAACAACTTGTTGAAAATCGATGAATACTGAATAAACAAGCAGGGATAACTTATATAGTGAAGATTGGCAACATCATTTTGGCTCGTCAGACTAGTCAAACAAATGAATAGATATGAAATTCTCAAAAATCACATAAGAACGTACATGTCGAAATAGTGTAAATACATTCATTTACAAAAAGTTATCCTAAGACGTAAAAAAGGCAAGCATAAATCATATCTAGCTCTCATATGGTAGTGTACCAGTAAAAAAACACAAATGTAAAAATGATGTTGATGTCACAAGAAATCGCCACATACTTCTTAGGTGGCTATCATTACTTTCGGAAATGTGAAAATATTTATTTATGAACTTGCCATTTTACAATAAACATAGTATGAGAGAAAAATAAATAATTGAACAATGATATAGGATATCAAGAATATAAAATATCAATAATTTATTAAAAATCAGCAGTTTCGTCATAGTACGTCAATACGTTTTACCTGATTTTTGGAATAATATAAAGATGAATCAAATAAATCCATGTTTGCTAGCCTAAGCATTTTAGTAATGGATCCATTTAAGTCATAGCTAGTAGAATGAGTAATTATAAGTAACATGTGTTACGTCTATGGCCCAGTCAAGCCGTTATTAGTTTTATATATTCACAAAAAAAAATTCGAAGAAGCAAGATGTTGAATACATCGGCTCCCGAAAAAAAGAAATTCGATTGTGGCTAAAAGAAAGAATTAGCAATGTTACCAACTTTTAATAACTCCAAATCGGACAATATATCTGTGTGTGGTGATACATTGGAGATTTATTTGATTTTTGAATGTCTAGCAATGTATATATTGTACCATAGTGACTTGATAAATTAGCGATCAAAATATATTTTGTAGAAACCATTCATCCAGAGTTGATAAAAAAGTACAGTTGAAAGGAATCTATGGTTTTCAACTGTTGTACATAAATACATTTCAAAAGGTATTAGGCAAAGTTGCCTATTTTGAAATTATATTGAAAAATGACAAACCTTAGGTTTTTTAGCAACAAGAAGTGTATAATTGAAAATATTAGGTTGAGTGGTACCAGCTAAGTGACACTTCATACAACATATTAATTAGGATATTCTGGTAGCTTTTTAAAGGTCAATGCGGGATCAAATTTTCAATATCTCTGAAAATAAAGACAGAGACAATAAAGAAGACAAACGAAAATGGAATAGTTTTTCACTAAAATTTCTAAGGTATATAGATAATAATTTATTGTTACTCAAAATTTTACAGTTCTTTAAAAGGGGTTCAGTTTCTTATACATATTGAGATAAAAATACCATAAAAGAGTACATACAAAGATATAAATGAAAGGGAGTATATTACAAGTGGTTACCCAAGTATACTCATTAGGAACAAATTCTCAGGATTTCAAAAAACATGTTCATAGATGAATTTTACCCTAACAAATGAAATGGTATTCCAGATACCAATGAATTATGCCTCATTGATGGGTATTCAAAGAATGAAGGCTTTACTGAGGTGTAGATAGGGCATTCAAAGATAATGTGATAACTTGAATTTGAATAGAATTATATTAAACTTTTTTTGCAGTTACCAGAAGATACTAATAAGTGAAAGTGTTTAAGACTTGTTGAAAGAACAATATTTAAACTTAAAAGAAATGTATAGCTTCACAAAAACTTAAAACCTGAAGGTGCAAGTAAATCATTGAGTTTTTACCAATGTATCATCCATGGAAATTCGTCCATCCTCCACTGAAAGTTAAGACATTGCCACATTCAAGAGAAATCATTGCTTAAATCTTCCAATATATCACCACACATAGATGCAGATGAATGTTTTTTTTATTAAAACACTTCAGATTATTCGAATAAAGAAAATATAAAATACGAATTGTCATTGAATTCCTGACGAAGAGAAACAACAATTTATGCAATTGAAAAAAATACAAATTTTATTTTTGTCTACTCCAAGAAACATGCATAAATTACATATGCAGACATTTAACAATTTGAAAAAAATTAGCATAGATCATATACATTACAGATCAAGAATTGATTTCAGAGTGATTAAAACAACCACACATCAAACTTTTACCCAATCTGTTCCAAATATAGCAAAAGTTTCACAAAATTTTGTTTTTTTCCCAAATGAAGATCAAGATCACTCTTGATCTGTTTAGGTATAGTAAACTTCAATACATGATTTATTGCTTTGAGATAGAACTCGACAAGCCTTCAATTCCTTTTCATAATAATAATCTCACAAAATAGTGAGATGCATTGAACAAATGATACCACTTTGGCGAACTCGATTCACCATAACATCTGGTCAAGCAAGAGTCTAAACAGGGCGGGTCACTTTCAGAAGGAGTGTATTTCAGGGTGATTCCCTCAGTCCCCNGTTTGAATCCATAATTACCCAAGAGAAATACATATACAATTATCCAGTTCAATTAGCTATATTGAAGATACTTTTCATGATTATCAACAGAATTCTTTCCTGTCCCTCACTGCGATCCAGATTCGGACTTTCAGCCTCTCCTAGATCACTAGAAATACAGTTAAATTTTTTCGACCTCACTGCAGAACTAATCAGTACTTTTATTCCTTTATACCACAGACTACAATAGTGGCAAATAAAACAAACTTTAATTTCTTTACTTCTGCATCCGAGTTTTAGAGGCAGCTGAATTTGGTTGGTTGTCCTTCAGCTCTATCCCTACATAAAGCATGCAGGATCTCCAAGTTACTTTCGTTTTTTGCAAAGTGATTTTATAAGTCTTGATAGTCTCTCCTGTATAGGTTTCACTTTTGTAGTTTCATACAGCGGTGCGTTTGAGGGATTGTGTAGTACGTTCTTAGGGTGACACATTTTGGTAATACTCCTTAGTTTAGATGTTTCAGCTGTTTAGAGGTTATTTAATGCAAGGATTACAACAACTTGAATAATTTATGTCTGCATATTTGCAAAGTGGACAGCAGACTATCTTATATATTTTAGTTGCGGTTTTGGAGTTGATTTCTCTTTTTTAAAGTGTCAGACCCTGAAAGTGTTTTCCTCTATTGATGCATTTATTTAAAAAAAAATTATATGACTGTTCAAGTTGATTTTGTGGTCAATGTTAACTCCCAAATATTTTACTGATTGCCTGCTCCTTACCATTTCATTGTTGATGTTTTTTGTTATTTTCAAATATTGACTACTTATTGATTTCTATGGAGGTTTTCTTATTTGGAATTTTTGTATTGTTGTATAATGCCTTTCATTTATTTTGTATTTTTTTATTGTATCGAGTAGTCCTTGTCTCAATCTTTGTCTTTTTTTATTTTCCGTCATCTCAATAACTTTTAAGACTTACTTATGTCATCTTCATTTTTTCAGGTTGGAAAATTTTTCCCTTACCCTTTCAAATGTCTTTCGTCAGGAGGACGAGTGGTTCATAACTGAAGGTGTTTTTTGGTGACGACATAAAGATCAATGGCCTCTATGCCATCCTGGCCTTGTGTACCCCTTCCTGACTGGGGTATTTGATGAACAAACTGTTCATTTTAACAGACGTCGTGGGGCCTTCACTCAACCGAACGACGGGGACTTCTGTATCGGGAGGGGTCGTCTATAGTAACTTTTAAGACTTGTCAATTCATACAACATATTTTTAATCCTGAGAATTAAGACTGGTGATATGTCATAAAGTCTTATCAGTTAAACAAAGATTAATAATAAATAATAACCAGAAGGAATTCAATTGTGCAGTTGGGAAACAATTTCAATAAATGTGGCTCTCATATACACATTTTGTGTAATAATTAGTTAATCCTAAAAGTTGAAATTCAGGAACTTTCCAGGTCACACTTTAGGGACAAAACTCAAAACTTGAACACAAAACATGAATGAAATTGTTTAAATTAGCCCTTTATCATATTCTGTTGATAATTGGTGCTTACACTTACCTAGATTTACATGTAATACTCAACATTTCAACTGTGCCACCTCCAAATATATTTACATTATCTGAAAAAGCATTTAAAATTGTTGAAGTAATTTTCTCACCTGTGAATCTGACAATCCTGTTAGAAGAGAAATAACATTATCCATTAAAAATTGATCATAAATAATAGTGTACTGGCATTGTTTCACTAATGTTTGAACAAAATCACAAAAATTCTGTCTGAATTTCTTCCAAGTTTGGCCTGCCATTATCAAAGGATATTCACCACTTTCTTCATCAAATTCTTCAGTCATTTTGCGAATAATAGCAGCATGTTCCATGGAAGTTTGCATTTCTTGAGTAATGCATCCTTTACAACCTGCTGCATTGATAAAAAATTGCATTAACGAAATCAATGCAGCTTCACGATTAATCTACAAAAATTCAAATTACTTAGGTAAACTTCTTTCGAGTAACTGAGAAATCTCACTTTGTAGCTCTCTATCCAATCATCCACTATGTGTGTCAATGAAACCTTACTATTCTTAATTATGTGATATAAAGAACTCTCGTCATTATCACTGTGCAGAATTTCACCAATTGTATTTTTTCTTCCAGGAGGTCTCCCTCTACCTCTACCCCTGCCTGTATTTCCAGTGCTTGTTGGAGAGCTAGAAGGAGCGATAATTGGAGCTGGTGGGTTATTCAACCCTCTTGCTTTACTTCTTGTAACTCTTCTCATGCCTGGAGTAGGAGGAGACTCAAAGTCATCCGCAGGCTGTCCTTGATCGTTGAAAACATTTCCATAGATATTTGATTGAGAATAGTTCGCATAACCTTCATGTTCAACTTGCGGAGTCATAGGGTTTTCGTATTCAGGAGGAGGTTCATCCATACGAATTCTTTTTCCTCCACGACGATGCATTGTGGAAAATTTGTGCAAAACTTTCAAAATATCCTTATACTAAATTTACTTGACTTTTCTAGCTGTTTTGCAGCTCCATTCCATATTCAAACTTGAATAAAAATTAAAATTTTATGAAACATTATAATACCGTATCTATATTATACTGAAATCAAATATTTAATAAATCATCGAATTGCAATATACGTAAAGAGTTTAATAACCATGTAACCTATATTTATCAAAACAGAAACAAACTACAACAGTGAACATAACGGCCGCACATTCAGGGTTGCCACACGATATGACGATTTCGTTTCGAACTAAAATTTAGATAATTTAGTCACAGATTTAGTATTGAACT